GTTGTTGTTGTTGTTGTTGTTGTTGTTGTTGTTGTTGTTGTTGTTGTCATTAAAACCTCCATTGTCCTGCTACTGTTAGTGTCTGAGTTCTTGTGGATACAAACTGGCCCATTTGCCATGGCCTCTGTCCCTTGCTACTCTTAGCTCTTTTTGAAGAAGTAGTGCATGAACATATCAACCTCTTAAAACTTTTTTTAGCACAAACAGACCAGCAGTTTGGTTCTAGTTTTGCAGACTTACCCTGCAGCGATGAAGCCCACCGCTCCATCCAAGTTGATGTGCATGTGGATAATTGAGCTTCAGGATTATTTGCGACTTTCCTGCCAGTTCTGTGAATTTAAAAGATAGATTGTTACTTCTGACTTTGCGTTGCAAAACTTTCCCTCCATTTCGGCAGAAATCAGCAGCCAGAAGCACTGTTGGCTTCTGGGTAAATGGACTGTACTTATCTAGCGCCTTTCTATCTTATCGAGATACTCAAAGCGCTTTACACTACAATCTGTGCCTCATTTACCCATTCATACAGCACTCTACTAGATCTCCACAAAGCTAATTGAACAAATCATTCTAAAGAGACTAATCAGATCTTTATCACATTCATACACCAACTGGACACACATCGGAGGCAATGAGGGGTTCGGTGTCTTGCCCAGGGACACATTAGGATGTGACTGCTGGTGAATTCAAACCCCCAGCTCTTGCATTGGAGGACGACTGCTCTAACTACTCAGCCACAGCCGCACAGGGTAGTGTAGTTCTTTTGACTGATGTTACAGTGTAGGCTTATTGAGAGAAAACTACAAAATGGCGGCACCTGTCCAATTTTTTTTTTTTTTCTCGTTAACTTTTTACCCCGTACTGTCCCAATCATATGAGTAAAATTAAAATTGACAATCGTTGAAAAACCGCGAAAGAGCGAGTCCGCTAAAGTCAAACCGCGAAGTAGTGAGGGACAACATAAAATTAAAGGCCTAGCATTCCTTAAAGACATACTTTTTTTTGTTTGTTTTTGTTCTGAATGTTTCAGTAAGAACCATCTGGTGGTTCATGAGACATTTTGCTAACACTCAGGCTTGACTCCAACAGTTAAGTGTTAGTGTTTAAGCAAAAAATCTTGCCCACTGAGTAGCACTTTATGTATTATGAAAGTCTGTTTGCTGTGGTGCTTAGTACAGTTCCATAGCAGACTATTATGTGTTGCATAATATTCATAATAAATGCCATGTTGTTTCTCTCTTAAGAAATTAACATCAACAGGTGCTGTAAATATATATGAATTGTTGGCTGCATCAAGTGAAAGGGAGGAAGTGCAACTGGTTCTAACATTAGGTGCTTAAGGTGTGTGTGATGAGGTGTGTTTTTGTGAGAAGTTGCAGAGAAGCATGATTTGTCTGTGTTTCAACAGCGCTGGACTGGACTGGACTGAAGACGCAGAAACATATGAGTCAAGTTTCTACAAGCGGAGTTTGGACAATGATCTGTACATCTTTACTCCAACACGTTGCAACGGTAAAAAAAGGGTGTCGTTTCTATACATTTAGGACTTTTATTTTTATTACATCTCCAAACGTGAAAAGTTTTTTTTTTTCAGTGTAAAAAGTAAATATAAACAGAATCTAATGATATTCAAATCTGAAACCCTTATTTTATTCAAAATGGAACACAGTCAATATATCAAATGTTGAAACAAATAAAATTGTACAATATTTGGGAAAATATAAACATTTCCTGTATCAGAACATTGTGTTACCAAGTAATTATGCAACTTGGTTGCCATGCTTAATTTCCGTTAGTGATAGATGCAAAAATAAATAAATAAATATCGGTTTTCACAGCCAGGCTGACACAAGGAAACAAACTGCACAGGACAAGTAATGAGATAGTAAGTTTCCCTGAGCCCATACAATGATATTTATCACAGAATAAGACCTGTTTTTATTGCACTGTCACCTGAGGACCCATAGATGACTAATGACTTTTAGCCTTGACCTTAACGCACAACAGTTTCTCCAGATTATTCGAATGTAATGATGTTACGATGAGACAATCAGTCGTCCCATGTTTTTGTTGAAGGACATTAGTCTAAAATAGTTTCACAACTTTCATTTTTATTTGCAGACAGATGATCCTCTACCCATTTTTACTTCTGAGAAATTCAGCATTTCTAAAAGGCTTTTTTAGTACTTCTTGCTGACCTGTTGCTAGTTAAACTAGTTTATTATTTGTACCACTCAATTAAAATGCTTATACTGTTTCATTGTGAATAAAATATGGGTTTGAGATTTGCAGCTCAATGTATCCTGTTTTGGACATTAATTGTTGGTATTTTTATATTCTCTGTTTTTTTTTTTGACATCTTGTGTGATTCCTTGTGTATGTCCCTTTGTATTGAAACTCTGGCGCAACAATTTCCTGCAGGATCAATGAAGTTCTATCTTATCTTATTCTGTTTTATTCAATTTTTATGCCTTGTCCCAACTTTTTGGGATTTGGGTTGTATTAAATTATTTCTTTCTCTGTTGTACAGAAAGTGACAGCTCAGTCCTTGTGAGCAGGGCAGTAAACATCAAGATAAATGACATCAATCTCAAACCAGCTGGTAAAAAATAACTGTTGGCATGTTTAAATCATATATTCTCAAGTTTTGTCTTTTACCCTTCCACCTTTCCATAAACACCCTGACACACAGCTTCAGTATGTAACCTTTATACCTCATAATTAATATACTGTAACTCTAAACACTGTCACAGGCGTTTTTTTAATAACCACCACTCCCCGATTTTCTGATGATTTCCGCCTCTCAGACATAAACACACAAACACGAATACACAAACCACACATCAAGTCGTCACATCTCCTGTGATCTTTAGCCAAGTTTAAATTCTCAAAGTTCAGAGTGTAAAGTTGAAGCAGAAGAACAAAATGATCTAGGATGTCTGGCTTTTGGGTGTCTTTTTCTCCCCCAGTGGTCGGTGTGAAGTTGGATATCGAGGCGTGGATGGAGATCCTTATCAACATCACAAACAAGAGGAATGTGAGTAGATTTTATCTGCATGACACAGATGAGCAAAGTTTCCAATCCTAATTTTTGATCACTGATCTCCTGTGTGTTTGAAGTGCAAGGATGAGATCTGCGGCTGTACGAGAAATAACAAGGTGGGAGACTTATTGCACATTTATTTTTGATTTCCTGTTTTGGTATAAATAAAATGATACATGATTAGAACATCTGTTTAATCCTTTTTCTTTGTGATTTCAGAGAGTAGACTGTGTCTTTCTAGATGACGGTGGATTTGTTGTGATGTCCAACCAAGATGACCACATATCCAAGGTGAACTGTGGAATTTTGCTTAAACATTTTAAGTATTTATATAAAAAGTATGAAATAAGGAGGTGGAAAACACTCTTAAATCCAACAATTTATTCATGTTTGAGAAAATTGGAGGTTAAATATAGAAATGATTGTGGCATGCAGGATGTTTCACAGAGTGGTGCCACGAATATTGAAAGCATCCTTTGATCTACTTTTGGATAAAAACAGGGGATGCCCTACAAAATAAGATCTAATCAGTTTCTAACAGATTTTTATTGCAGATATGATGCTAGTTTTTTCTATCAACCAATGCCATGAAAGGAAGATGATCAAGCTATCTCCTGCCTGCCTACAAGTTTGTGTGTGTTAGCCAAATATCTCAGGAACAAGAAGATTAATTTATTTTAAAAATCATTTAAAAAAAATTGCAAGTAATCATTAAATGGGCATCTACAGCTGTTTAACTTTGGAGTCACCATGTTTCAAGAAGGACACCTGAGCTAATGAAAATTAGCACAGACACATGGTTATAGCTCAACTAAACAAACAGGTGGTGCAACCCAGCCTCATCCTCCAAACAAATGTGTGTTCAGCATTTTGGGTGCAACTGTTTTCATGCTCAAAACTGAAGTGTGTGATCACATGCGTGTGCCTTCAAAATACAAAAAAAAAAAAATAAATAACAATAAAGCTTGACTTGACTTGAGAACAGTACCAGCTAGTGATCTGGCATAGAAACTACAATTTGGCAAAATTGCATAAACATGTATAGCTTTGCCATCATTAACATCAGAAAAAAGTGAAAGTTTACAGAAATTTACAGAGATTTGCCATATCCTGGATGGCTGAGAATCCACACCAGCTTTAACTTGGTCAATTTAGCAGATATTGAGCAACAATCTGGTGTGGAAGTAGCTGACACAGCATACTGAACAGCTCATATAAGAGCTTTGTATAAAACTATGGCAGGTGCTGTTCATTCCTTCAAGGATTGTTAGGTTCAATTGGCAAATGTGTTTGTTTTGAAGAAAATGGCACTTTTTTTTGTTTTTGTCAAATGTCAACTATATTGCCCATGTTTATAGTAAAAACACTGAATGTCACCAAGTGTGCATGTTGTGCATAAAAATGTGTAAGAATATTTATTTGAATTTAAAAACATCAGTTTCCCAATAACCTTATGTTCTAACATTCCACTACAGAGGATTCTTACAGACGAAAACCTGCTTTTGTCCTAAATGATTGTAAACTGCTGTAATTTTTTTATGTAGTCTCAATTTACCAGTTACAGCTAAACAAACTAAAGAAAACTAAAGAAATTCATTTTCTGTGAAAATGCAGTGTGAATGCCGAATGTTGAAAATAAGCAGGTCAAGCTAAAATTAGCGAAATAGTAGCTAAAAGCTATAATTTGTCCAATTATTGCTAAAAACTCAAAACTGGTCTCTGTGAGAGAGGCTGGGTACACCTAGACATGTCACAAGTCCATCACAGAGACACATACACAAAACTTTATCTAAAAGCTTAAATTTGCAAAGCCACAGCTAACTTGAGGTAAAACAAAATTAGCAAAACCTTAGCTAAATTTTTTTTTTAAATTGATAAAGCTGAGCTAAAAGTTTTTTTTTTTTTTTTTTTTAAGTATTTAAAAGCTAAATTATTCAATCACCAGCCAGTTGAGGCATATTGCAGCCTATGTTGGACCAGGTTCTGGTTCTGCTGTAGATTTTGCCATCCAAGGAGGATGAAAGACTGCAAAATTTATTTCTAAGATGCTCAGATCCAAAAACCAAAACCTCAGTCTTGTTTGAGTTAAAAGCAGAAAATTTAGGGTCATCCAGGTTTTTATGTCTATAAGACATGCTTGTAGTCCATGTAGCTGATTGGATTCATTTGGTTTTATGGACAAATATAACTGTGTATAATCAGCATAACAATTACAATTTATCTCATGCTGTTTAGTAACATTACCTAATGGAAGCATATATAGGGTAAAGATTATTGGTCCAAACACTGAACCCTGAGGAACTCCATGACTAACTTTGGTGTATGAGGAAGATTTATTGTTTACATTTACAAATTAGAATCTATCAGATAAATATTATTTAAACCACTTTAGAGCTGTTCCTGTAATCCCATATCATATTCAAGCCTCTGTAGTAGAATGTTGTGATCAGCTGTATCACATGCAGCTCTGAGGTCTAACAGGACCAGTGTAGACATACGTAAGTCCATTGTTAGAGGCCATGAGAATATCATTAGTAACTTTAACTCATGCTGTTTCTGTGCTATGATGAGCTCTAAATCCTGACTGAAACTCCTCAAACAGATTATTTCTTTGTAGATGATCACGTAACTGACCAGCAACTATTAGAATTTTTTAGATGAAAGTTAGATTAGATAAAGGTCCATAATTGGCTAGGATTCTTAAGCCAAGATTATGTTTAAGTAAAGGTTACAGCAATCTTAAAGCCATTCATTAAAGATAAATTAAGCAGATCCAAAATGTGGATATTAATTAATGGACATACCTCTTTAAATAGTCTGGTTATGGTGGGATCTAGCAGACATGTGGATGGTTTGGATGAAGCTATTACTTTTAACAATTCAGAGAGCACAACAGGACAAAATCAGTCCAAACATAAATCAGGTTCTAGTGGGATTTTTAAAGTCGTCTCATCTGACATGGAACCAGAGGCAATAGTAGGAAGAATGGTATGAATTTTGTCCCTTATTGAAATAATTGTATTTATAAAGAATCTCATGAAGTCATCACTGCTTATAGTTGTAGGTTCATCATGGTTCATATATAGGATTTTTCATTAGAGTAGCTATGGTACTGAAAAGGAACCTGGGATCATTTTATTCTCATCAATTAAAGATGAATAATATAAAGTTCTAGCTTTATGGAGAGCTTTTTTATAAGTTAGTAGGCTGTCTCTCTAAGATAAGTAAAATTATTCAACGTTAGTGAAGCGCCATTGTCTTTCCAGCTTTCTAGATGCCTGTTTTAAAGTATGTAACTCAGAATTGAACCAAGGAGCCAGTCTCCTCTTATTGATTACTTACCTTTTCAGCGGAGCAGTTTTATCGAGAGAAGTTTGCAAACAAGTTGTAAATCTATCAACCAGATAAATTAATTGTCTTAATAAACTAATGAAGCCTCTATCATGTAATTTGCCACATTTTCTATTTCCTTCATGCACAAACCAGACTAAGCTTTCTTCTACCCCTCCTTCTCATTGTCTTATGTTTAGTGCTAACAGTGGGCCCCTTGAAGTCATCGGAGTAAATGTTGCTTCATGCAGCTCAGACTCCCTCCCAATCAGGCCTGGGTGTGTGTTTGATAAATCAGTCCCTCTCTGATGTTTGGCAGGAATACTAAAACCCAGCAACCATGTTTGTAAAGGACTGTGCACACTCAATCATATTTCCAACAGGAGCACAGCTTTTCTCCCGCTTTATGGCTTTCTCTCTCCAGCTCTTTCCAATTCATACTCCATAAAAAAAAAACAACCTTGGGGAGTCTGCAGCCGGCAGGACTGTGACTGTTAATTCATTATTTGTGTTGCTGCACTGGGAAGGAGGAGACGGCTCTCGTTACCTTATAGATTGGAAGATTTATATATCGTTTGGCTTGCAGGAGGAATGAGTGTGTGGAGGGCCGCTTGTTAACAGTGACCTTACAAAGTGGAAAGAAAATGATCGTTTGCGTGTCCTAAAGTGCTCGCACATGCGTCCGAGCACATGTGCAACAAGATATCCGCTGTATGTGAATATTCCCACCTGGATACACGAGTACTTAAACACTTCCAAGCACTCAGTCGCATCACACCTCTGAGACATTCGGAAAAACCCCATCCTCAAAGTTGTTAGTGTTGGTCTGTCACCTTCTGTCTGTAAAATCACTCAAGATTTTTTGTAATGCTTGTGTTTGAATGCTGTAATCATAAAACGCTGTAATGGTTTGCAATTTAAACAGTTTAAGTCATATGAAGGTTCAAAAAATATCTCTGTGAGGCTTTGTTACTAAAGTCATTCCCCTGTAGTGAACTAAGCGCATATGTTCATTCTACACCCCCGTGAAGCTGAGAAGTCATGAGTGTTATGGTAGATCTTTCCTCGGGGCCTCAAAGCAGAACTACTGTACACAGTCTTCATGTATCTGTTTTTATTTTGAATCAGGTTTGGGATTTTTGAAATCGATGTCATGAAACTTGAAACTTGCTGCAAGAAGTGTGCAAAGAGAAAAAAAAACGTTTTTTAACCTTCTCTGCTTCTTCTCTCTCTCCACATTAGATTGGGTGTTTCTTTGGCGTCATCGACCCCGTTCTGATGAGAGCCTTGGTCAACTCGTCCCTGTTCACCTCTAAAAGTACCTACGACTACCAGTCTCTTTGCAATCCTAAGAGGAAGAACAAGGCGGCCGCAGGCCTGCGATCAGTCTACGTGGTGAGTTACATAAGCCAGAGACACACACACAAATACAGTCATGTTCACACTTTTCCATATCCAAACATAGTTTACCCATTCTTGTATGAACGGACAGATTAATGCTCATGCTGTCTTTTGCACTCATACCTGCTGCTGAGCACTTTGTCACTCGTCAGAGGAACGTAAATCTGGATTAGGCAGATGAGAAAGAAAGCAGTGTGGTTGGTGAAAGTGTTGGAGTGGGAGTTGCAGTAACAGTAATGAGATTAGTTGCTCTAATGTGCTGGAGAAACGCATTAAGCAACGTAGAAGCGAGCACTGCTTTTCATCACTTACAGAACGTACAAATTGGAGTGAAATGCTGCAGATTGCTTGCAGAGATTACAGCAATAAAAATGAATTTGTCTTTCCTCTGAACAGTTTGAGGAGCATGTAGTGCAACCCCAGTTCTGGAAAAGTTGGGACGTTTGGTAAAATGTAAAGGTCGGCCAATGTGTTTATTTTTTCATGCCAATACCATTATTTGGAATTAGGATGACCAATGATTGCTCTTTGTTTTTTTTTTTTGGCTGATAAAATA